CTGGAGCAGTCTATTCGGGGGTCTGCAGCCTCCCCAGTGCCTGGCACGGCGCCTCGCACATAGCGGGCTCTCAGGAAAGGTGGGTCTAGGTGGGTCCAGTGGCTGAAGGCTGCTCAAGAATGGAGCGGGTGGGCTGCTGCTCACCGGGTCTCAGACACGTTGCGTGTGGACAAGGCGATCTCGCCTGCGCTGGAGTCGCCTAGCGTGCGGTTGTCCTTGAACCACACGACAGTAGGCGGCGGGTAGGCCTCGAACACGACCTGCAGAGCCCGGCTGCGGTGCAGCTCCGCGAACTGTACGGCGTCCAGCTCTCCCAGCAGCCGCACGTAGCCGCTCTCTGCAAGGGGCGGCCGTCAGGGGCGGGCCCCGGGGGCGGGGCTAGGCCCGGCTACCAATAGGGCAGCGCCTCCTGGGGGCGGGGCTCCCGGGGCGGGGCATCCACTGGCTGCGCGCGGAGCCCAGCCTTCGGGGGCGGGGCTTCAGGCTTCGGGACCTGAGGGTCCTCGCTCCAGGGATGGAGCTCCCAGAGTTGGAGCTGAGACTAGGGGCTGAATTGGGGCTGATATGGATTTGGGGGCCGGGCTTGGGGTTGGGACTGGAATCGTTCTCACTGAGCGTGTTCTGGCTCGGGATTGCGGCTGAGGTGCGTTGCAGCATGGTTGAACTTGAGGATGGAGCTGCCTGGGCCTGGGATGGCGGTTGGGTTTAGAAATCGGGTTGGGGCTGAGGTTCTGCCTAGGCAGAAAGTCTACGCTGGGATTAGAGGTTGGACTTGGGGCAGGCACTGCGTTTGGGTTTGGGTTTGGGTTTTGGGTTCATCCTGGAAATGGGCTTTGGTTGGTACTGAAGCTAGGACTGTACTGGAATGCAGCTGACAGTACCCCCAGGGCTTTGAGAAGGTCTAGGTCCAGCTCAGAAGGAGGGTCGGGGCTAAGCCCAAGGCACGCACCAACCACGGTGACGTTGATGGACTTTTCATCTCGATGGTCATTCACACTTTCTGATACATTGCAGATGTAGGTCCCTGAATCGCCAAGCTCAGCACTAGGGATGTGCAGAATGGAGCGTATGTGGGAGGGCACATTGAAGAGGAAGTCAGTCACTGGCTCCACCAGCCGCCCACTCTGTAGGGACAGGTGGGGCAAGCACCCCAAATCAGGCAGGGTCAAAGAAGTTAGGCTGCAAGTCAAGATACTCAACCCTCCCTGGCCCTTTCTCCAATCCCTGGCCCAGCAATACCTCCATACGTGGGTATGTCCATTCAAAGTTAACCACCTCATTTCCGGTCACGATGCACATGATGGTGATGTTCTCACCCTGGCGGACCACAGTCTGCACTGCATTCACGGAGACATTGATGGATGACACTAGTGGAGAGAGAGTAGCTTAGGGCTGAGGAAGTTATGACCAGCCACCAGCCCTTCTGCTGGGGGACGGGGGACGGGGGGTTTAGAGAGGGAAGGAATGACTGGTGCAGAAGATTCATTCATTCATTCAACAAATATTTATTAAAAGCTTCCTATATGCCAAGTCCTATGCTAGACACTGGGACTTTAGCAGTAAACACGACAAACTTCCTGCCCTCGTGGAGCTGATGTCCTAGAAGCATAACAGTCTTGAATCAATGCTTTCTCTGGGCATCTAGGTAAAGGAGAAATGTATGGAGCACAACCATGTAACGGGGAGCCTCTACTTTTAATCCTCACAATAATCCCACCAGGTGGGCAGCCATTGTTTTCCTCATTTTGCAGAGGAAGAGGCAGGCTCAGAGAGATTATGTGCCTTGTGCAAAGGCACTCACTCAGATGGGAAGTGCACAGCTGGGATTCAAACCCAACTGGCTCCGAGGCCTGTGCCTTTGCCTGCCACGGTGTACAGCCCAGCCCTGCCACTAACACTCCTCATGACCTCAGGAATACTCCATCCTCCGTGTTTCGGGTTTCCATCTGTAAAATGGGGAAACAGTACCTGCCTTCCAAGACTACAGTGAGAATCCAGTGAAAAATGGAATTGCACACTTTGTAAACTGGAAAGGGCTATACCTCTACGGAGGGTCATACTTGCCTCTGCTGAGCAACAGGCCAGAAAGGGGGCTCACCCTGGAGGCTGTAGACATAGTAGGCTTCAGAATCCACTTCCTTGTCCCCGATGGTGGTTTTGCAGACATAAGTCTTGTCCTCGAAGGTACCAGAGAAGCCACGTTGGTGGTCATAGGGGATGGGCAGTGGGATATCCACTTTCTTCTCGTGCAGTGTCACCACCAGTCTTGGATCCGTCACTCGGCATGGAATTGTGATCTCCGTTATTTCCGTGAGAAAGATGAAGAGTTCCTCAGGGTCAACCGGGAGAAAGCCCATAGTGGGATCTGCCATGTGTGGGGCCAAGAATGAAGGTCAGGGGAGTTGGTTTGCTGGCTCTCCTCTGAATTTCTGTGTGAACTTGAGCAGGTGTCTTCCCCTCTCTGTCCCTCAGTCTTCCCATTACAGAATAAGGATGCTCTCAGAGGTCCCTTCCAGCTTTAACATTTGATATGGTCAGCACCAGGGTAAGAAAGAAGATAAGCCACAAGTCGAAGAGCAGCCGGTACCCGGAGATTGGAGAATGGGAAAGATGGGAGGCAGAAGCCAAAAAAGAGCACACTGGGACCCTCTGAGAAGGCAGAGTTCTTGGGAGCCAGGAATGGGGTAGGCTGTCAGGGAAAGTCAGATCTCCAGACCCAGGGATGGGAGTGAACATCCTCCTGGACTGAGCCAGGCTGGACTCCATGATTTGTCTGCATTTCTAAGCTGGCTGTGTCTCACCATGTCACTAAGCACTCCCAGCTTCCCCCAGATACCTGCAGTTGAGAAGAGAAGTCAGGGAGGGAGCACACAGGCGGGGGTGCTTACCTGGCACAAAGATATAGAGCCGTTTTCGCCCATCAGGCTCCAGCCCATGGGAGCCTTTGTAGGTGCAAAAGTACTCTCCCGTGTCTAGCCCAGTGACATTGGTCAGTGTCAGTGTGCTGGAGAAGGTGCCATCCTGGGTTCTGGCCATTTTCTGCAGGGGCTCTTGGGACAACCGTTCCCATACCACAGGAGCTGAACCCGAGCAGGTCAGAACGAAGGTGCTAGAGATATTAAGGACAAGCTCCGGCCCCGGGGGTGTGATGACCAGGCCACCGGAGGCCTGTGGGCTCAGCAGCAACAGCAGCGGCAGCCACAGTGCCTGGCCTTTGGGAGGAAAGGCATCAGATGTCAGGGCACAGAAGCATCAGCACCACTCCTCACAGCTGAGCCTGGAGGAGGCCATACCTGCACAGTCTTTGAAGAACACACCTCCCTAATCTGACATAGACTGGAACCCATGGCTCTGAAGCCTGCTTGCCCAGTGCCCGGGCCCCAAGACTCCTTCCAGCCTCCTGGCCTCCTGATCGTCGTGCCTCTAGATGCCAGGTCTCAGAATCCTCCAGCTATGCTATGTTCAGGCTTGGGCACATTCTCCTGAAGGCATCAGGAAATCCTCGGGAAGCAATTCCCAGGCCTCCAGTTCCTGCATTACTTCCCAGGTCACTTTCTGAGCCCCTTCCCTGCAGCTGCTCCAGTTCCTAGGTTCCACCCAAGCCCAGAGGCGGCCATGACTGGGGAAGGTGGGGCAGGGTAGCTCAGAGTAAGGCAGACCGGGCAGGAGAGACTCAGCAGCCACTGGGAACTGGGGTGGGGTGGAGGTGTCAAGTGACTGGTCCCCCTCCCCCTGCTGATGTCCTCTGGGAAGGATTCTGTAAGCCATGTTCCCTAGACCTGCAGGTAATCAGCCAGTTGGCCATCGGCTGGTCACTAACTGCCAGTGACCAATGACTGCCTGGTCAGCCACCCAGCCCCTGGAGCACTGACAGCATGTAACAGGCAGTAGTGAGGGAAGGGTGTGCTTGCAGAAGCCCAGGCAGGACTTGGGAGCTCACAACCAGTGAGAGATCCAGGCCAGGAGGGGAATCTCAGACCAGAAGCAGACCAGCCAGGCTGATACCAAAGAGCACTAGGAAGGTGGGACACCAGACACCGGGGTGACTGTTAGTGAGTGGGGTGGGGACAGCTGGTGAGGAGGCACAGGGTATGGAGGGCTGAGCAAAGGATTCGAACTAATGGCTCTGGACAAGCAGGAGTCCAGCCAGATTTCTGAGCCGAGTGAACAGTTGAAGAAGGCCTTCACTGAGCGTCCACTGGAAAGGCAGGAAATGGAAGCTCAAGAGCACAGCAGCACCCCTGGGCTCCCAGTCCCCCATGCTAACATGTACCACCCCTGCCAGCTCCAGAGGGACCTCCCCACTCCCACCCCTTTGACAACAGAAGCTGGCATGACACTTGGAAGCCACAATGTACCTACCTTTGAGGACAGGAGCTGGCATGGTGCTTGGAACCTGCATGGTGTCCTGCAGAATTAAACAGGGGTCAGGGCTCAGGGTGGACAGAGTCATTGTGAAATCTGACTTAGCACCCGAGTCCTGCAGAGTGAACCTCAGCCCAGACTACCCAACCTCCATGTCTGTGGCACTGAAGTCAAAAGCCACTCATGTCTCATGGTCAACAGGGTACTCATGCCCAAGAGTCCCCTCCCCCTGCACTGGGCTTGGCCTCAGGGTGTCTAGACCCTACTTTGGCTCTGCCTCTACCTCTCCAGTAGCCTTGGGTGAACCCAGGCCACTCTGGGCCTTAGTTTCTGTGTATGTACAGTGGGAGTGGGGGACTTGGGCTGGATAGTGTCCAGGGGCCCGCCAGCTCCAACAGCCAGTCCTCCGAGTGACAGTTCCAATACCAGGCTCTTATCTGCCAGGACAAATATTTGGGAAAGCCTGATGAAAGGCCTGGGGGAGCAGGAGGGGGGTAAGCCAGAACCCAGAGAACTCCCACAGGCTCTAAAAGCACAACAGGAAGTGGAGGCGGCTGTGGGAAGGGAAGCGGGGGAGTCAGGACTGAGGAATGTGGGGGGGGGTGGGCAGCCCCATGCCTGGGTCCCCTTTACCAGGCCCCAAGCCGCACAAGGAGGCCTAGGGGAGAGGGGCCAGGGGTTGGGCCCAGGGGAGGCCCCACCGCTGGGCAAGGCTTCAAGGGTCCTTCGAGACTACTGAATCCAAGCCCCCCACCTTCACTATCCAGACAGGGAAACCAAGGCTCTGGAGGGGAAAGAAGTCTGCGCAGGCTGACACAGCAGAGCTTGTCGAAGCCGGAGACCAAGAGACCTGGAATGATAGAGGCCCAGAGAGACAGACACAGAGACGGAGACGGAGAAGGAGAAAGCGCACAGTGAAGGAGGCAGCAGGCGCAGGGAGCGGGGACCAGAGAGACAGCCTGAGCTGGGAGGCTCTCTGCTCCACCCCTGCGCTTGGCAGCCCCGCCGAGGACCCCAACCACCAAGGGCCAGGCTTGCAAGGGTCTGGCCGCAGCCGGATAGGAAGGAGGCCAGGAGTGGGCCGGGGTCGCCGAGCAAGAACCCTGGGGAGCGGCCACGTGACCGGGCACCCGCAGCCTCCAGGTGCGCTGTCTTTGCACTTCAGGCCCCGCCCCTCGGGCCCCGCCCAGGTCGCCCACGCCACGCCCCCTCCGGGCCCTTTTCTTTCCAATCCGGGGCTGGGCTCCGGGGCTGGGCTCCGGGGCCCGAGCCCCAGCGGCGCTGCCTCCTGTGCCCTGGCTCCGTGTGCGTCCTCAGTCTCCAGTTCTCAAAATGGGATGATGGAGAGTGTCCCAGTACAGGGCCGCATTTTCACATGCGGCTGGGCCCCACGCTCAGCTCTGCCCAGCACCCCCAGAAGCTCTCTGAGCCACTCTGCTCTGCCCTTCCTCCTTCTCCCAGTCCCTTTGGACCGGCCTGCCTGAGGGTCTCCTCATTCCTCCCCTCTCCTCTCTCTCAACTGTTCCAGACACGAAGCCCAGTCCCTCCCCAGCATCCCTACTCCCATCCCTCCGCCCCAGCCCCTCCAGCTGGATGCCAGTGTTCCGCCAGTAGGAGGGAGCAGGGCCACTGCTGCAGAGCCAGCGGCCCCCACAGAGGCCCATCTGCCCCTCCGTGGGTGCCCCTCTGGCTCCCCTCTTCCTGCCTGAGATCTCAGCCAAAGAAAATCATTAGCAGCCCAGGCTGGGGGAGGGGGTCATTTCAGCCTCCCTGCCCCTCCCCTCCCAGCCTCCCTGGCTGGCCACACTGTTTATTATTCTAAAGGAGGAATTTGGTCCACTGGCCTGGAGATGGGAGGTCACTGCAACCAGGGCTGGCCTGGCTCTGGAAGGCTGGGCCTTGCGGGCTGGGCCCCCAGCTCCCCCTGACCCTGGCTCCTTTCCCGCTGGGCCTGGGGCTGGGGGGAGCTCAGAGTCTCAGACTGAGCAAGGAGGGGCCTTCTTGAATAGGCAGCAGACCAGAGAGGGACAGAATCATGGCCTAGCCGCACAGAGAAGAGGCACAATCAGGCTAGGGAGGCTAGGCTGGGCAGAAGGGCTCAGGGCGAGTGTGGATGACCCAGGGATGTTGGGCTGACTTCTCTCTCTAGGAAATGAGCATTTGGGCTCTGGTCAACAGGGCCTCAGACTCACCGTGAGATTCAGCAAGCCTCCCGCCTTCTCTGGGACTTAGTTTCCCCCCATGAATACAGGGAGAGGTTTGGATGGGGCAACTCAAAGAGCTACACCTGTTCTAAAACTTCTTTGGCCAGAGGGAAGGTTCTGGTCACTGTTATTCCTGCTGGGGTGGTTTATGGGAAGTGAGGGCCAATGAGAAGGAGGGGGCCAGGGATGCCTGGGTGGCCCAGTGGTTGAGCGTCTGCCTTCAGCTCAGGGGGTGATCCCGGGGTCCCAGGATCTAGTCCCACATCGGGCTCCTTGCATGGAAACTGCTTCTCCCTCTGCCTGTGTCTCTGCCTCTCTCTCTGTCTCTCATGAACAAATAAATAAAATCTTTAAAAAAAGAAAGAAAAAAGGAGGGGGCTGCATCACTGAGGCTTGGGGTCATGTGAGAATCCATAGCCCATCTCATTCCACCAATTGAATTTCCCCCACCATTTGGTCACAGACATGCTGTGTGGACTTTGACGAATTGTTTCCCTCTCTGGGCCTCCTATTTCCCACCTCTACAATTAGGAGTTAGGCAATCTTTCAGGAGACTTTGAGACAAATAAACCAGTGATATAGAACCCAAGGAAGTGGCAAGAGGAAGGGTGGCATAGACAACAGGGGGGCTAGGAAGAATGAGAGTAGAGTTTGGGGGCACCCAACCTCCCAGGCTATCTTAGATGACTCCTTGATACCGTCAGTTATCTACCCAATGCTTTATGGACCTCCATGCTTCTCAGAGGCTGCTGCAGCGCCGGCCAACCCCGGAAAGGCCCAAGCCACTAATTCAGAGGTTGGGGGTTTGCCTCTGACAACTTCCCCCTTTCAGGAGAGCTATGCTCCATGGAGGAGTCACCTGGGACAAGGTAGACGTCACAGTCAGGAAGCAGGCACCATACTCTCCTGCCTGGGGAGGTCCCTGTAGCAGAGGGAGGGAGAGGACTCTCAGGGAGAGTGCTGAGTGCCAGGAAGACCTCATGATTCCTCTTATTTTGGCCAGGTTGCAGGGACAGAGGTCCAAAGATGGACCCACTCCTCACAGTGAATCAGAAGGACCCCCTTGGGTGAGTAGAACGTGCACCAGGGGAGCAGGCATGCTTGGGGAATCATTCGGAGCCCAGCCTTCTGTCTTTCCAGCTCATATGAGCCTCCACTGCTTTCCCACCACCTTAATCTAAATAAATCCAGTCCCTCTTGGCCACATCCGCCAGCAGCAGCTTCCCTCCCTCGGGGTCCTGAGACTCCCACGACACAGGGAGGCCAGGAAGGCGGGCCTCCACGGCTGCCAGTGCGGGAGGTTTGCACAGGGTGAGCATGTGCACACACACCACAGACCCCCTGCCTACGCGCTCACTCACACGCTGCTCGGAAACACATCCGTGTGCAATAGGCCATGTGTGTGCTGAGCCCTCACGCAGGCACTGCACATGTGCATGCCCACACAAAACCCACGTGCACACAGCTCCCCCCCACCGTGCCCAGCACACATGGCAGCACACGTGCACACAGCGTAGACTGCTGACTGCTTGCTCTCCCACACGCCCATGGGAGGGGTGCACACGCGCCGCAAATCACATGCGCACCCCACCCAAGCAAAGCTGTGCACATGCAGTACGCAAAGAGTGCGTGCACATGGGCCCCAACACACCTGAACACACATCCACAACACCTAACACAGGCCAGCGCGTGTCAAACATTTACTGTACCAGGTGCTGCTCTGAGCACTTGACATGGAGCGACTTACTTGCTCCTCAGCCAACTCTGTGAGCTAGATACAAGGATCAGTCCTGTTTTAGATGGGGAAGCTGAGGCAGCCAGCACTTAGGGAACTTGCCTAGGAATGCAGAGCAGAGACCGAATGGGCACAGAGTACTCTATGCCAGCCTGTGCCACCACCTTCTCAGTCTGGGCTGGGGAGAGGGTGGTAGGGGCTGACAGAGACAGATGGCACTGAGTTGTGTTTAGCTGAGAGGAGATGGGACTTGGTGATGGATGCTGGGGGGCCGGAGTGAGAGGTAGCTTACGTGAGGCCCCACTCCTCTGTTTCTGATGTGGAATACCAGGGGGAGGGGGGCAGGAGCATATGTGTGTGTGTGTGTGTGTGTGTGTGTGTGTGTGTGTGTGTGTGTGTTGGGACACAATGTCATTTTCTGAGATAAGGATAAGGGAAGGGGCAGGATTGAGAGCTGCCACTGAGCTACTTTAGGGTTTGGAGGGGCTGTGGGTACCTGAATGGACAGAGGGACCCTCCATCCAGAGGCAGGGAACAGGCTGGGCAGAAGTAGCCTTGAGGGGGACTGGGAGGAAGCCCTGCTGCAAGGAGGAGGAGTGGGGCTCTCTGGCCAGGGATGCCCCAAATAAACGAGATGCCAGAGGGAGGAGGAGGCTTAGCTGTGGAGTCACGGGGTTAGAGTCCTGGAATAGCAGCGCTCCACAGCCCTTAGGGATCATCTATCCAATCCAACCTTCTTCCTGTGCCCATTGTACAGGCAGGAAAACTGAGGCCAAGAGAAAACCTGGGACAGGTGCCAATGTTCTGACCTCAGGCTGAGGTGGCCAGCGGGACACTGATGCTCACCTGACCGGGCAGCCCTGGCTCCAGTCCCAGCTCCGATGTGGGGCTGTTGGCTCAAGACCCAGCGTTCGGACCACATCCACTGCCTACTCTTTTCCCACAGAACGCCCCCTGCCCTGCCATACGTAAACCTCCCTATCAAAGTCACTTTCCCTGTCCTGCCCCTCGCAGACAGGGAACCGGGACTGAGACCAAGAGGAAGTGGCTCCTCTTGCAGGCAGAAGTGGGACACGGCTCGAGTGCCCTGCTGGTGGCCTCTTCCTCTCTTCTGCACACCTCTCTCTCCCCCCAACCCTTGGCGTCCCCTCGAACAAACTGGAGCAGATCCCTAGCTGGGAATTAGGGGGTGTGGGTTCCAGCCCCAGCTCTATCACCCATCTACAGTGCAGTTGTGTCCCTTTCTGAGCCTTGGTCTTCCCATCTGTACACGGAGTGCATGGGGCTGCCCTGGATGCACTTCCAGGGCTGCCTTGCTGTGGCTCTCAGGACCCTGCTCTGGAAGGAAGAGGGCTGTGCAGAGTTGGAATGCTGGGGTGGGGGTGGGGGCCAGGGAGGGGCCCCCCCGGCCTGGATGTCATGACTCAGCTCAGAGAAGGCAGCCAGCTTTAGGCCTGGGAGTGTGTGGGGGCAAGAGGCATCTGGAGCCAGGGACTGAGTCCTCCCTCCAGCAGCTGGGAGAGCACGTGAGTGAGGGCCACTCTGACTTGACCTGGCAGAGTGTGGCCCGTGTGGCCCATGTGGCCCATGTGGCCTTACTCCAAGTGGGCTGAGATGTAGGTGCGCTCTTGCAGCATGGGGGCCGGGGGGACTTCATCCTGGGAGCCAGGGAGGACCGCAGGGTCCATTGGGTAGAGGGGGTGGAAGCCTGGGAAGGGGCCAAGGCTGTGGGGCTCCCGCCTGCCACCCTCAATCCAAAGCCCCACTTCTATCTGTTGGTGAAGGCTCAGCACTCCCCCTCCAGCACAGTGAATCTCCCCGCAAGCCTGAGGATCACATCAAGGCCAGAGAGAGAGCAACCTGGCCCAATCACACAGCGACGACACAGCTTGGTGCTCCTGGCCTTCCCCTCTGCCATGCTCCTCTAGAGCCGCAGGGCCTTCATGTGTCCAGGTACCTATGAACTCCCCCAAACCAAGCAGAAGAAATCCACTAAGTTGGGGCCTGGCATGGGCTCTAGCTGTTCTGGAAGTCCAGGTGGGGAGAATAACAGTGCCAGTTCCATGGGCTGGCATTCTGATCCCCCTACCCCTGTCCCCCCGCCCCCGGCACCAGCTTGGTGGCCTCTGGCTGTCCTATTGCACTGCCCTCCTTCTGTCTCCTCACCTCTGATGTGTCCCCTCCTGCCTCTTCTCACACCGCAGCCCAGCCCGAGGAACCTTTCTGAAATACCTCTCTGATCATGTCCTCCCCTGCCCCCTCCGTGGCTCTCTCTCCGTCACCCCCAGGAAGTGGCTGGCTTCTTAGCTCAGCCTTTAAGAAACTTGGTGCCCTGGCCCTGGCGACAGCTCATCGTGACTGGGGACAGGAGGTTGCTGCCTTCCCAGCTCCCCAGGGCCCAAGCAAGGCCCCCACACTCGTCACTCACTCTGTGCTTTTCTCCCCAGGAGGCCTCCCCAGGGACACAATGGAAAGAAATGACCTATTTTCTGGAAGTTCAAAATAAAACGAAACATCTGTCTGGATCAGAGCCAGGCTGATAAAGAACGGACTGATTCCCCCCACCGCCGAAGCCCCCCCTCCTCTTGCCACACACCCCCTCACCCGCCAGAGTGTGTGTGCTTGGGGGTGGGGGACAACACGGGCCCAGTTACTTGGAACAGCTCGTGGGAAAGCGCTCAGTGTGTGCCTCACGGCCACTGGGGGCCCAGGGGAGGGGGCCTGGGTCCCCACACAGGCTGGGAACCGTCCTGAGAAGGAGGTCAGGGAGGGAGGGAGGCCCGCCGCGTGCTCCTGCAGAGCAAACACTTCCTGCCTTCTCCGGCGCCTCGCTGGCCTCCCTGCTCATCCATCCCGTGTGGCTGCCCACCTCCACCCCCAGGGCACCTCCACCCCCAGGGCCGAAGGCCTGGTTCTGCACAGGCCCCGTGGATCCTAGGACGAGAGTCCTCTGGATCCCATCTGGAACTCCTAGAGCCTCGGCAGAATGGAACAAGGCGCTAGCAGGCCTTGCAAACAGCAGGAATTTCAATAGCCATCTTTGATTTAGTTGGTGCCACCTGATACCTGGGCTAAGCCATTTATGTGAATGACTTTGGGACAGTCTGTGACCCCTCTGTGTCGCCGTCCCATTTCACAGATGAGGAGAGCAAGGCACAGAGTGCTTGGATCATTTGCCTGAGGTCAACGGATCTTTGTCAGGGGTGAAGCCAGTGCCCAGTCCCCAGCAGACCGACCCCAGAGCACACTGGCTCCGTGCCACCTGACGGCCTCCCTGCCTGGCACATGGCACAGGCTGAGCCTGTGAGCCACCCGCCCCGCTCCTTCCCCTCGGCGTCCTGACCTGTCCCATCCATCCTGCTTTCCTTTTTTTTTTTTTTCCATCCTGCTTTCCTTGTACTGGGCTGAGTCTGAAGCTGAAGAACAGGATGGGCGTCACATCGTCTTTCATAGAGCCCTGTGACCGTGGGGCCAGGAGTGCGACGGTGGGGCCAGGAGGGGTCACATCTACTCCCTGCTCACGTCTGCCCCTCCCGCTCTGCCAACCAAGGGGCTGTCGGTCCACAGCAGCACACCTCCCGTGGCCAGGGTCTCACCACCTCATCCGGAACCTACTCCATTCTTGGACGGCTCAGGATCCTCAGGGCTCAGGCTATTAAAAATTTTCATTACACTGGGGATTTTGTTTTGTCCTCACAACAATCCTGTGAGGGGGTTACAATCGTGATTTCCCTTTCATGAGGAGGAAACTGAGTCTCAGAGAGGTCTGGTAGCTTGTCCAAGGCGACACAGCCGGTAAGCCATGAAGCTGGGATGCAAACTCAGGCTTGTCTGACTCCAAACCTGCATTCTTTTTTTTCTTTTTTTATTCATTGGAGACAGAGATAGAGGCAGAGACATGGGCAGAGGGAGAAGCAGGCTCCCTGCAGGGATCCCCATCTGGGACTCAATCCCAGGACCCTGGGATCACCACCTGAGCCAAAGGCAGACAGTCAACCGCTTAGCTACCCAGGAGTCCCTCCTAACCCTCACGATAGACTGTATGTCTCCAGCCCAGAAACAGGTCTGTCCACAAGGAAACGGTACCAAATAAGTTTACCCTAATGGGGTCCATACAGAATCCAGGCTCTCAAGGACCGGAGGATCCTGAGGTCAGGGTCCTATCCTTCCCTTGCTGAGGTGCAGAGTGAGCAAGGGGCCTGCCCCAGCTCACCCAGTAAGGTAAAGCCAAGCTAGGGATGGAGCTCAGAACTTTCCTGCAACTTCACTGCAGAGCCAGAGGGTGAGCACAGGGTTGAGGAGAGGAGTCCTTGCTGAGGACAGCCTGGGGCTGGCAGGGGCCATGCCCAACAGTGGCCTGTCCCTGAGCGCCTCGGAGATGCAGCACCCAGGCAGGCGGGCTAGGTGTGTGGCCGGCTGTGCCCGGGTTCCAGGCTCGCCCCTGGTGGGGCCCCAGCACCTCGGCAGCTGCAGAGTTCCGGGCCTCCACCATCCCTCGCTGCCCTCCCCGCACCGCCTCCCCTGCCCCCCAGAGCCTCATCTCAGGCCGGTGCCATGGCAACGGAGAGCCCAGGTCCTGGCAGCCAGAGGAGCCCCCGAGAGGGGTCCCAGGCCGAGGCTGGGGAGGGGGGTGCGGCGGGCGCAGACAAGCAAACCTTCTGTTCCCGGGGCTGCTGCCAGCCCGGGATCAGCCCTGGGCCGGGGTGGGGGCCGCAAATAGAATGGGTTCTCAGAGCCAAGTGGGCAGGGGGCAGGCAGGCCTCAGGCCTTGGTCCTGACCCACCAGCACATGGCCTGCCCCCACCAGCCCCAAGCCCAGGCCACGGGCGGGCAGAGAGGGAGCTGGCTGACAGAGGCCCTGCCACCAACAGGAGCCAACGGGAGCATTGAGATTCCCCTCAGAGTCCTCGGGGCTGCAGAGCCAGAGGGGAGAAAGTCCCACATTTCACTTCCCTCTCCCTCTCTCCGCTCCCTCCTCTCACCCCTCTCTCTGGCCCCGCACCCCCTTCTCCCACAGACTGTCACTCAGCTCCTCTGGGCCTCGGCATGCCCATCTGGAAGTCGGGGCTCGTCCCGGAGCAGTGGAGGCCACTGAATGAGTTCATACAAGTAAGACGCTTAGAACAGGGCCTGGCACACAGCCCTGTGCCAAGTCAGTGGCCTCGTTCTTCTTCCTTCACTCACGGGAGAGCAGCAGTGCGCAGCCCGGCCCCCACCCCGGCCAGGCTTGCAGGGGAGGCCCATGATAGATGAGATGCTGGGAAAGCCCCCTGCAGAGGGGCTCCTCTGGAACGGGGAGCTGCAGCCGGCTCAGTCAGAGGGGGGTGTCTCCCTGCACAGTCAGGGTTGTAAAGGCCCACCCAGGACCCAAACCCAAGTTCAGTGAGTTCTGGCAACCACGTCCTTCCTGTACCTTTGTCTTAGTCCCTTCGCTCGATTCCTGAGTGAGGAAACGCACCTAACAATTTTTTCAGGTGCCTCCAAATTCCTCATAGGGAATTAGGTATACAGTGGATGCTTAATAGATGCTTCCACAGCCTAAAGGATCAAATGGCCTTATAGGGACAGCCTTCTGGTCTTCAGGCCCGGGCCCTCAGCTGTCCCCTGATACCTCAGGGTTCACTAGGCTGGGAAAGAGTCTAGGTGACTCTTTCTTTCTAGGGTGGTGATGGGACAGGCTAGGTTAGAAGGCAAAAGGGGGCCCTTGATGGCAGCAAGTTGTGCACGATGCCACCCAGAGCACCAAAAGCACATGGGAGCTCAGCCAGGCCAGGGGCTGCAGTCGCGCTGTGCACCCACTTAATCCAGGTCCAAGTTAAGTGCCAGCTCTCCTACCTTGTAGCTGCGTGACCTGTTTGACTTTAAGTTCCCTGAGTCCAGTTTCCAGAAAAATGACAGAAGGAACTTCCTTTTCCATTGCTGGGAGGGTTAGTGGTGATAATGAAAAGCACCTGTCACATAATAGGTGCTCAGGAAAGGGCAGGGGTCATGAATACGTGATTATTCCAGTGAGGAGAGGGTGGCCTCCAGCTGGGCCTCCAGGGTTTAGTGGGGTTCTTCGGTAGATGATGCCAGGCAAGGGTCACTCCTGGCTATCCCACGTGGCTCTGTGTGGTAAGTGGGAGAGAGAACCCAGGGCATCTGGGAAAACAGCAGGGGGAGAACTTTTACATCAGAAATCAGGGCTCTTGGGGATCCCTGGGTGGCTCAGCAGTTTAGCGCCTGCCTTCGGCCCAGGGTATGATCCTGGAGTCCCGGGATCAAGTCCCACATCGGGCTCCCTGCACGGAGCCTACTTCTCTCTCTCTGCCTGTGTCTCTGCCTCTCTCTCTCTGTCTCTCATGAATAAATAAATAAGATCTTTAAAAAAAATTTTTTTTAAAGAAATCAGGGCTCTTTAGCAAAGGGGTAGGAAAAGGCTCAATCTGACATGAGGAAAATATTGTGGAGATCAATTTGGGAAAGGCTTAGGGTCCTGGGTGAAGATTTAGGCTTTGTCCCGGAGGTGCTAGGTAGCCAACTTTCAGGGCATTGATAGCAGGATGTGGTGGGGGGGTGGAACTGGCTGCTGGCTGGGCAGTGATAAGAGTCCAACTCCAAGCACTACGGGGGTGGGGGGGAGCTCCTGTCCTCAAACAGGAGTGACAGAGCAGGTTAGCATCTGTGGGAGGGTGTGGGTTCGAATGGGGACAGTGGAGGCAGCGAGGCCAGTTTCGGATACGAAACCTTCTCAAACCCTGCCTAAAACTCCCTAGCGGAACCAGCCATGTAATCTGTGGGGCCACCTGCAAAGTGGACACGCAGGGTTCCTGGTTACAAAATTGTTAAGAATTTCAGGCATGTGGGCAGCCCCGGTGGCGCAGCGGTTTAGCGCCGCCTGCAGTCCAGGGTGTGATCCTGGAGACCCAGGATCAAGTCCCATATAGGGCTCCTTGTATGGAGCCTGCTTCTCCCTCTGCCTGTGCCTCTGCCTCTTTCTCTTGCTCTCTCTGAACAAATAAATAAATAAATCTTTACAAAAAAAAAAAAGAATTTCAGGCGTGAAACATCATTTCTGCTCTCTGGACTAACAGGGAGGCCAAGTGTCCAGCCAGCCTGCCAGCCACTGGTCTGTTTATCCATCTCTCCATGCACTTATTTATCACTATTCACTACCCATTCAGCAGACTGACTGTAGCCCAGGAACTGAGGTAAGAGCAGAATAGTCCATAGTCCACTTTCCCTTCACAGCTACGGCTGTGACAGCTTTGACAGCTTTGAGCCCTGCCCTATGGACTAGCCCTGGAATCCCCCCATGCCCAACTGAGGCTCAGCTTCATGCACGGAGACTCTGACCGCCAGCTGGTTCTACTTCCCTGGAGGGAACGCCACTAGGGCAGCAATGAGGATTGGAAACAGCCACAGAAACCTGGCAGGGCTAAGGGCAAAGCAAGATGGAACATTTGGGGTCACTGAGCTGCCCCCTTGGCCTCCCCCAACACTTGTATAAAAGGAAATCATGGCCAAAATGGAGAAGTGATGTGGTGAGAGCTCCAAGTCCACAAACCCACCCCGGAGGGTTCCCACCCCTCATGGAAATGGCATTTCCTCTTCAGCCCAAACGTTGCCCTGTGACCTCAGCCCAGGGAGAACTGGGGCTGAGTGAACCTCGGATGGCAGAGATGGATGGTGAAGACACAGCATGTGCTCAGCTGGGTCCCCAGCTCCACACTACTACCACCGACCATCCATACAACTGGAGGCACACCCCTCCCGTTCTCTGGACCTGTTTTCCAACTGTACATGAAGGAAGTTGAACCAGGTGACCCCCAGAATCCTTTTCATCTCTGACCTTCAAGGACTGACTCCCTGGCCCTGCTACCCC